ACATGTGCAAACTTCAGGTCAAATGTGTTAAAATTCAGACCTCGTGATAAACAACCGCATTGAGTCAAAAGATGCCTATGTCAAAAGGAAGGTTTGCAAATTAATTAAAAACGGAGTGTGATTTCTCACTTAAATGAAGCTAATTCAATTTGAAATTTCGATTGATAGGGGTATGGCAGTGTTTCTATCAGCTTTCAGTATCCTACGATCATTGCATCCTTCTAAAAGCATGCATTAGGAAGTAAAAGTAATTTTCAATACCAGAAAGGGGTATTTGTATCATTTTACATTACAATTTACCAACAGGACATGTTATTGGTGTATTTAATTGCAAATAAAATAAATGACATTTGAGATGCCCACAATCAGACCTACACCAAATTCGGGGGGTAATTGTCATTCAAAATTCAGGGCCGCAGGAGACCCACGAGGTTGATGAAACTTCAGACGAATGTCAGTGCTCAAATTTTGGCTTTCGAACTCTTACCATGTCTCATTTATACTTACTAAATTAACTCAGTTATTTTCAATTTATGAAAGTACTTTTCAGTTAAATTATTAGAATACTGGCGAATTCCGACCCTTTTGCTTATTTAAGAAAATTTTACACCACTTCGTAGCCTTCCTATTGAAATGCGGGGTTGAGTGGACACATCGAGAGTTATTTGATTATTCACACGTTCAATTTACTCTCTCAAACAAAATGAAGGAACAATGATACCAAAATTCGCCATCTCTAAATCTCCGATTGTATCTACACTCGAAGTTACTTTGTTACTAGGCCACAGCAGGGAAAACACTATACCTGATTAACAGATGGTCACGCCTTGAGGGAAGGAGGAGGAGGGGGAGGGGAAGGGAGGGGGGGGAGGTGGGAAGTTAGATGAGAAATGAGCCTTCAATGCTCCCGCTTCAATTAACTTCAAGTGGAATCCCTCCATGATTGGTAAAACAGGTGTGTCTCTTAAAGGTAAGCGGGATCGCAGGGGGTAGAAGGAGAAGATATCTTTTCCTCGTGGATTAAATGAAGTCCACTTGACTCTTCGGGGCGTTCATAAAGTCAACTCTACTTACTGCTCTTGCAATTTTCAAGTGATACTTTTAGCCAGTTCATTAACTTTAAGCACAAATTTATGTGAAAGTTAAAATGTGATGTGGAATTAGTTAAAATGCAATTTTATTACCTCAATGGTCTATTCTAGTTCATAACTCGAAAACGGCAATTTCAGAAATAGCCTTTTGAGTGAGTGTGTGTGCGTATTTCAACTAAATCAGATTAATAAATATTTAACTTAACTACGACATTCGCGCCATTTTCGATCGGCCCTGATAGGAGGTCACTCGTTTTCAGAGGCGATAGTTTTACCACCTGCAATAACTTCACTGTGCATTCCTACACCTTCGATTCCACTGTGAATTATTGTGACCTAATTTCAAGGATACAGATGGGAAAGTTAGAAATTGGGCTCTAATAAGTAGGAAGTAACTAAAATGGAAAGCTACTGCTTGAATAAGCAACTGTACATGACATCTAGCATTTTATATTCGAAGCCGACTGATCCACATTAAGCTTATAATTTTCGTTTATAACCAGAATATCCTAAACACAATGCCTAATGTCTGCATGAATTTTAAATTAATTAAATAAAAAAGTTATTATTACAGGGCAAAAAAGAATCCAAACGCTGCAACTGAGAAACGAGTCTTACATAGAAGATACGAATATAGAAACACAGTTTGGAATTTTCTTTTTTCGTAGTTCGACGCCACCGTTGCACTTCCTCTAAGAAGAAATGAATTAATTTTCCAACCTTTAAGCAACCCCATTCGGCAATGCAATGACAAATGGCACACTTTTATGCTTTGCACTCAATGAAATTGAACAGGACTTAATGTTCATTGTGGAAATAAAAGAAAAAGTTGTCTCAATTTTGCTGCTAGCTTTCGACAGCAAGCCAGTTGAATGGGTAATCACATTTTATCATTACCAGGCAGACTCTAACAGCGTCATTTTTATCCAAGTAAAGATTTTCCCTAGGGTTATACACGCTCCATTTCTTTTGGAAATAGGGGGTGTGCGATAGACTTACCTCCACGTGGTGTACCCTGGGCAACGTCTACTCATACGGCAAAAAGTCTATTATTCGGCAGTTGGCTTCTGGCTTCAAACTACCATCACCCCACTGTATATCATATTTGACTACTTCCACAGTACTCACCTCACCTTTTTTCTACCTTTGTGTCTGCCTCTTTTAAATCTTTGAAACTCTTCTGTTCCCACCCCTCCCCCTCCTGAATTTTTTTCACTTTGATGTTCCTTCCCCTCTGTGAATCTTGAAGTAAACTGAAGAGCTAATGATAACCATCAAAACGCCTGCCATCTGGTATAAATTAATAAATAAATTAGGAAATAAATGTATGGATTTGAAAAATGCACAATTGATGACACTTGCCAATATGGAAATCCATAACCTCGATCCAGGCTAATAATGATCATGAGAATCCCAAACATATCCCAGAAACCAAGTCCATTATTGAATAGATAATTCGCACTGACCCAAAAAGACTGGGAAAGCCGAAAATCCATAATTTTTCGCTTGCCTACTAACTCGTGCATTGTGTTGACAACAGCTAAATCAATAAGTCCAGCACCTCTCCTCACCAACGTGGGAAAACTAAAAGGTCTTGGAGAAAGAAAGCTAATTTTTGAACATTAATTGACATATATTATTACCGACGGTCTTAAAACTGGATTGTATATCATCCTAGTTTCGCTATTTAAGTTATGAGACCACTGCCGAACCATTTATTTCCTGCTAAAACTGTGAAAATGAACAAATTTTCATGTAGAATCTTTGAAAGAGTAGTGGAGAGTGTTTATGGCAGTAAATCCGAAAAGCAGCCTTCTTATTCAATCAATTGAGCTGTGTCCCTAGGTATTCAAAGTCTTAGCTGGTTATAAAGAAATTAGACTGCCTACCGGCAGAAATGTTTGCATTAGCAACTGAGACCTACAGGTATTGAGCACCGAAACGTAACATGAGATATCGATTTAATTCAAACTATCGTCTTGTCCACTATGGTTCACTCCAGCATCCACCTTCTTAATTGACTTTAACTTGATGAACAAATTAAGGTGTACCTACAGATGGTTCCAAAATCTGCTAACTTGATATCCGATATTGGCCTGACCATGAACCCTGATTGTGCAGGTGGACTGGTTCCTGCTGGGCTCCCCTACATCTCCCTAAGGGGAATTGAGGACACGCGTTCAAGAGTTGTCAGGGCGATAAATCCCTCCTGGTGGAACCACAACGGACTAATTGGATCAGTTCAGTTTGTTTATCCAGTCGGAGCCAGCTGTCTTACTTCACCTCGTACTCCACGAACTTCTTGAAACTGTTAGTCTCCGCGTGTTGGGTTAAAATAGGGTTAGGGTCAAGATGGCATCTTCCCTGTCTCTATGCCACGCGTTCTTATTAAAATAGGATAAAAAGAACTTTAAGTAGTCGCTCTAAAAATAATGCTCACCCAATCACTTCTTCTTTGCACGGAATGTCTATCAAAATCGATACAGTTGTTAAAAATAGTACATTTAAACAAATTTACATTGTTTCATCTGTCACACAGTCATAAAATTAAAAGGGGGACCAGGCTGTTGAATTATGGCCTCCCGCAATAGTTGGGGTGACAAAATGAATCAGTAGTTCTCCTTGCATTCCCAGTCTAATCACTGTTAACCGAGACAATTTAACCATGAGAATTTGATCATTTCTAGCTAAACTCATCACTGTGCTATGCAGTTAGTATTTACCTAATTATTTGGCTCACCAAAGCCATTAACTAAATGCCTGTATTAGTACGTGGCGGAGTGGTAATAATTCTCTTTAATAAGGTACATTTGAAATGCTCATATTTCTGAAATAAATTTTTAATACACAATGAAATAAATTGGAAATAGCTCTTTTTCTTGATCAGATCACTAAGTGAATGACCAAATATAGCACTATAAGATAAACATGGTAGTTATCATACTCCAGTCAACGATTTTGTGCCTCAAGCAGAGCATTTGAGTTTTTTTTAAAATAAAAAATAAATAATGGGAATAATTTCTGATAGATAAAGTAGAATATCTTACTTAAAGAAGAAATTAATTCTGGTATTTTAAAATTGTCTTGATTCGATCCCCACTTATTTATAATTTTTGGATTTTTGGTGAAATATATACACAGGAAAAGTGGGCCGTTTGTTGGAGAAGGGAAAGGTTTGCTTGGTTCTTTGTACATTTTCATTGTTTCGAACAAGTAGTTTCATGATTGGTTCACATGAGGTTGTTCAAATCTGGTCTCAAGCTGGTGGTCAGGTCCTCTTCAAGAGCGACATGCGGTAGTTCTCCACGCTTTGAAGTTAGCGAACTTGGAAATTACTCATCTCCATGTGTCAAAATTCTCTTCACAAAAACTTAGGTGTGTGGGAAAGTTATTTGACGTGGACTACAAAGCGTCAAACGGTAGCCTGACTTTCTCCAGGTCATTGTCTGGTGGGAGAATTTGTAATCATATGAGATTAATTATTTTGCCATATTTTGTCACGCTTTCAAGCATTGGTTAATTTCTTCAAGCTATCCTTTGCTGAGGAGCAAGATTTCGAAATTCTCCACTTATTTGAGTAGCTATAATTATAAAATATAATAACCGATGAGGATTTCGATAGTGAAGACGTTTACCGGTATGGTGACTTCTTGAAAATCGGTCGATCACATTTTAATTCAATATGGGATTGTGATTTTAAGCAAACTATCTTAGTAACCGAATGATCAATATTTCTCAGCCCTGAATTTCCGAGTGCAATTTTTCGAGTACTGCACCTCAACCTCATGACTCCTAACTAAAATCGATAGCTTAAACTTGATGTCTGCATTGGTATTTATTTAAAACACAAGCCACAGGAAAATAGACGAGAGTTGAATTATTACATACTTTTAAATTTACAGTAGTTTATCCTAATCAATCATTATCCATTTCCCCCTCTCGACTTCCTTTCACTTTGATGTTCCTCCTCCTCCTCTCTGTGAAGCCTCGAAGTCAGCTTAAGGGCCAATGATAACTGTCAAAACGTCAGCCATTTGAAATAAATATTAGGTTGAGCAAAGTAACGAAATACCCTTTGAGTACTGAGTGCATACATCACCTAAAAAAGAAGCTAATAAGGTATATTAGGGGAGCATTCGCAGCACTAGATTAGGGTATTCTGGGGTCGGTCTTGCGGGAAAATCGTATTCTACGCTAATCAATCAATGCCAATAACCATCCCCTTTATTGGATGTGTGCACTGATGAGCGTCGGCTTAACGTAAATGCGTAATGCCGCACGCATGTTCAAGAAAGCAATCGAAACTGCCGTTTAAACCTAAACACAAATCTGAACGATCTACCACTTTATTGCCATTCATTAGGTTAGGCAGTGAATTAATTTATCCCATAGTTAAAAACCATTCTCGACACCCTTTATTAGAAAAATAGCTCCCAACTTTTGGCAAAGACATGACTACCTGGTGTTATTTAGCGCCGAAGTCGCACCTGAAAATGAGGGTGGGTGAGAGAATCTAAGCTCTCATTCTCTTTGAAAAGTACATTGAACAAAGAGAAACCCTGGTAAATCATGGAAAAGTAAAGTAGAGCATTCCATTAAACCAATAAAGGGTAATACTATCAAAACATCCAAAACTGTTCTTTAAATACATTGTTCATTATATAATAATAATTGCATTGTCTAATTCGAGTTTTCCAACGCTCATCTTGGGTAAAGAATAATACCATGTAAGCTTTCTAACGAAAGACTCTAATTATGACTGTTTCATTTTAGCCTGTCTTATTTCGGTTGAACATTTTACTCACCGAGTGAGCACCAATGGGATTCAAACCTTCGACAATTGATTTAGCTGATACATCTTGATCTATATGTATTTTAATACAATTATTGATAATGGAAGCGGTCTGCTGCGAAAATTTTGCCTAAACAACTCCTCACTGGAATCTCACTTGAGTTCGGACAATCTCTGGAACCAAAATTACAGGGGTTGAAAAAGACACGTGAGCTCTTGCTACAGGAAGAACAGAAATGATGCGTGTTTGGGCAAATGGAGGCGTGACAGACAATTGCCGATGAAAATGTAAAAGATTTGAGCTTGGAATTCGATCATATTTAAAGAAGTGAATCAGTGTGTCTAGTAATATATGTATAATTGGTCAATACTAAGCACCATTATGTAGGTACTTTATACCTGTTAAAATTAATCTTTTATTTCAAGATTGGGAAGTTTGAATTCATTTTCGGTACATATCAAGCAATGTGAAGACTCCGGGTTTATTTTTAAATTTATTCCCAAGTAAATGAAATTTGCCAAAACTCACTCATTATAATTGCGAATATAACAATGGCCTAAGTAGAACTCGTGATCTATTTCTCATGAATTTGAATGTGAGTATTGAAAGTGAAAAAATCCTTTATTTTATTCGAGTAGAAGCAAAATAGTGCATCATGCTGCACCTATGCAGTCATGACGCAATACTCAATTCTGTACCCCCCCCCATCTTAACGATAAGATAATCGATAGAATTCGACCCTGAATTTTAGAGTACGTTTATCCACATATTTCATTTTGACAAAGTCCTCTCTAACTTTAATCGATTATGCACTCAATGTTGAATATATGGACAGTAATTCACTCTTTGTTAGGAAACACAAAAAATATTTTTCTAGCAAACATTTTTCTACTCTCTTGCCAGAGGTCAAGTGATTTAATGATTATATTGTTCAATCCAACAGTGAATGGACATCTCTGGTTTAAGTTCACACTGTCTGAGCCTGACTTGCAACTAATTTTGTCTATTATTACTTATGACCATCAAACTGATTATTGGAGTACTATTAATCGGTCGAAGTAAGCGACAGGTGTTTATTCAAATAAATTAACTGCGAGATGCGTTTCTTCATTAAAGTACTTTGGGCAAAGAAGCCACACAAACAGTACCTCAGTAATGGAAATAATTCCCATTTTTTATATAGTTCACATGAAATAGAAATGAAGAGCGGTTTTGCTGAGTTCTATTAAATGGGCGGATACATTTCACCTTTGATACACGAATAATCCATTCCCAATGGGGTCTTCTAACATTTCGAACCAAGAAGTAACCATCTAAGCTCACATCAGGTGATATTCTAGTGAGTCCTATGGATTGAAGTTGATAGGAGTTAAGTGATAAATGAGCTCTTCATGTAGGAGGTCAAGAAAACGTAAGATATGCCAAGTGAAACATTATACATTGCAGGAATATGCTCTTATTTAAGGAAGGGAAGCATAATAAATCATACTTTATTGTTAAATGACGGATTACTCCTCCAAATTAGTCTTAGCTTTGGTTTCAATATGAAAGGTTATGCACCTTAAATTGTATGAAGTGAACTTATTTTTGCCTTTGGCCTAAGATGAATCTTTAGTCAACTCCTCAAAAAATTTGTCTTCGAGATATTGCAAAAATTCTAAAATTGTTATTGGCTTTCGTTAGGGCATAAATGATCAATGGCATAATTGTCATGACAGTAATGTCATAGTTGGGGGGGGGGGGATCACCTGGTGAAGTGGTGGATTACTTCACTAACTAACTCTGACCAACAAGATGGTTGGGAGTAGGCTATGTCCTCGTAACAGAGGGTGTCGGATACCTTCTCTCTTCCCAGGTCAGGTGTTGTGAACACCTGATACTTATTAGCGTCTGGAGCATGCATATCCGTCAATAACTTGCTAAGTCTGAATCTGCTTAGTCACAAGGACATTACATAACTTACCCAGGTGTGCAGTCTTTTTGAATTAGCCTGAGTTATGAATCGAAATAATTGCTGTAAGCTGATTACTGGTGTAGTTTCGATCGATAAGAGTTCGGGGAAAAGGAGCTGACCACGGGGTGCACTCTTTCAATAAGGTATATTAAATAAAATACCCGTAAGCCATGCACTATTGACTGAGAGGTAGTGACGAGAAGTGTTTTAAACAGCTGATAGGAGAGTAAGGAACATTTTTTCACGTATTCAGTATACTATGCCTATATACAGTTGTTAGGAGATAGCGTGCTGTCAAAACCGCTTATAGCTACTTTCTGTCAGAGCACATCCACTCCAAAGCTCACGAAAAATTTTGTTTAATCGTTGGACAAGTCCTTGATCCGGTCTTCAGTGCCATATTAGTGAAAGGCAATAGTGAATCAAGTTGAACATTAAATTCTATCCAAGAAAATGCTTCAGAAAATATCATTTTAGACTAATACATGCCATTAAAACAGTTAAGCTTTCTTAGCCACATTTTTAACTAGTAATTCAATTTATACCTTGATCGTACTGAGTTATGCTATTACTGAAAGATTGGCAGTAGAATATCACATAAAAGGAGACATTGAAGGCTATCTCGAGTTGTCGTTAACAGCGTAATTTAAATTGCGAAGAAAATGATTGATTGGGCCTGGTACTTGTGACTAAAAACTTCACATAAATAAACGAAAGCAAGGCTATTCAAGCCAAGAAATAGCATGTATATTATTAGCCCAAATTATATTAAAATAAATCTTAAATGCCAAAATAAGGTAGAAATAAGTAGTTGAATACACTGAAGTGAAAGTGTGTATGGGGGTGTGGTTAGAGGTAGGGTCTCCATAGCTGTTGACGCTTCTTTGGGGGTAGTTTTAAAGGTGGTCCTTTCGTTATACATTCTGACACGCTATTCTCCTTGCGACAGCTTGAAGTAGACGACAAATCATGAATGCCACTATCACTGAAGTTCTGAAAAGGATTCAACAAGAAATCCTGAAAGTTATCTCTTTTCAAATTTGTCGAATTCTTCTTGTAGAAGGAACATAATTTTTTCTTGACTTCTGGTCTTTCTTTCATGAGATGAGCCATACTGGTCAAAACCTCTTGGCAGAATGTTAGCATTTCAATCTTTTCGGACCGTACAGGTGATTTCTCCGCCTACCAAGAGAACGAAAAAAGGTTAATTTGATTTGATGCAAAGTTCAAACATATTCAATGCGATGCACCCACGTTTTCCTTTCCAACAATGGAGAGAGCAAGGTTATGTATTTGAGTGATTTGATCCGAGATTCGAGCACGTCTCAACCGCTCCTTATTCTGTTTCTTTAACTGGGGGGAGAAAAAAAGATGTATAAGGTGGCGGTTCATTTTTAGTATAAAATATTATAAAGGGCATGATTCATACACGTCTTAATTCCATTCTTTGTTCCCTTCTGAGTGGGAGTAGATCTTCAATTTGTGAAAATATAGGAAGCATTTCGGAAATTAAAACGCGATTGTGCTGAAGATTACCTTTACTACAAATGACGTTTTAAGTGCACAGTGAATGGCTCCTGTCTGCACGTGCTATTATTGGACGAGTCAATAGCCAATCAAGTTGGGGCACTCCTCGTGGCCAATAAGTCTAAAGGTCACCTCGTGTTCTTTGTTACTTTAATGCGAAATGCGGAAAAAATGAGATTTTTTATTTCCCAAAATTAAATACCAAGGCCATTGAAAGTATTATGTGCCTGTAAAAATCAGGAAAAGTATAAACATAATTTGGAATTATTTTTTATTTCGAATGGCAGGCATTTTGATAGTTATCATTAGCCCTTAGCTGATTTCGAACTTCACAGAGGAAAGAAACATCAAAGTTCAAGAGGGTGGGCCGAAGAGCGATTTGTAGATGTAAAAAAAAGCCAGACACAACGATAGAGAGTAAAGTAAGGTGAATACTGTAGAAGTGGTCGACTATGACATACAGTGAGACATGGTAGTTTAAAGTCAGAAGTCAACTGCCGAAGAATAGACTTCCTTTTGCCGTATGAGTATACGTTGCCCAGGGTGCACCACGTGGTGGTAAGTCTATCGCACACCCCAATTCGGAATTATAGAATATTTCAAAGCATCGTGAGAGGCCATACATTTAAGTAACCTAAGAAAGTGTTCTCTCGCCATTTCTTAAATATTCTAGGCTGGTCGAGCTACACAGGTCCAGTTGGAATAAAAGAAAGCCTGTAACCCAAATAACGGTTACTCTTCTCATTATTAAGAAGGTATATCAAATCACTAAAACTTGGCTACATTTATAGTTGATTTGCAGAGGTGCGAAAAGTGAATAGGAGTAATCGAAAAATCTTGTGTCATCTGAATGAATTTCACTAAGTAGAACTTCAGGAACTTCGATAAAAGCATGAGAAATAAAATCTATTTTCTATAACACTCAATTCACCAATGCATCATATGTCTAACATTAACTTCTGTTCGTGTATAATTAAGCTCACTCTTCGTAATTTTAGTCAATTGTGCACTTTAAAGATCAAAGTACTTGCTATAATGGTTTACCGAACGCTGCATGTATGGAGTCATGAGACAATATTAAAACACTGCACGCTAATCCGCCAATGTGCTGTCGAAAATTAGATGGATAAAATATTGATTTACTGAGGGAATCCTTTAGCAGTGGTGGCGCTATATAATTAAATTGCAATTAGATGGTCTATTGGGATAAAACTCTTCGATCATTCGATTTTGGCTTATCTCTTTTTTGTACTCATTAATGAGAATGAAGTCTGCACTAAAATATCACTAGCTAACCAGATGGCAAATCAATTTATTATTACCAAATTGTATATAAACAGTTATAGTTCCATTGAGCATTGTGAAGTACTGATTGTCTATTTTCTTATTGTGTCTGAATATGTAGTTACATGACTGGTAATTGCCCAGTTAAAAATCTTTTCCTATTTACCTTGAAGTATGCATTAAGACAATATCCTTTGAGCAAGATTTCTTCTGACAATCTAACTGCAATCTCCAATATTGAGGGCGTAATAATGAAGTCTTTCAAAGGGCGGTTTCAATTGCATTCCTTCAATTGAGCCAGGGAATAAGAAAGAGTGAGTGCGTTGCTATAGAGTCCGTCCAGTAATCTGCTTGCGCAAATTATTTGTAAATAAACTAATGTGGAATGGTAAGATAATTATCAGATGAACTGTAGCTACAACTGAAGCTATTTTTTCACTATGAACCCAAAATTCCGAGTGGATCCATAGCGAAGTTGCTGAGTCACAACAACTTGGGGTGGTTAGCTAACCACCACCTGCTATTTATCAATTAGAATTGAAAATCTAGATGGTCAATAGTGTTGAAAGAGTTGATCTGCAACTTAAACTTTTACTTGTAGGCATCCGGGAAATGATCCAACAACGACTCGATATTCCAGATCAGAATAGGGAAGTGGACAAGCTGTAAGTCAGCTAGACCTGGAAATATACAAACAAGCTAATAATATAAATATAGGGGAAATATGACTATTTTCTCAAGGGGAAATAGTAAAGAAATACTTATTCGCATATTTACATAATATTTCTGCCTTGATGGAAGTTTAGCTTTATTAAATAATTATGAATTTTGCCGTTCAAATGCAATGAATACCTAGGTTGCTAATAGATTGGATGCACTAAGTGATGTCGAGCATGAGATTGTTCTGAAACCTGATTGTATAAACGGTTTAACCTTACCCGTTTGATTAAACGTACTTTGATACCATCCTGGGAAGAGGTTTTGAAGTATTCTAAAATTTACATTATAGTATTCACAATATGCTGTATTTTTTTAAATTCAGATTATTTTTAAGCGAATAGTTGTCTCATATTTGTAGTACAAATGAATGCAGAAACCAAGTATTTGAATTAGAATTCTATTGTCATATTTTAGAAACTTCAGGTCATCCAGAAAATGCATTTCTTTACATCTGCTTTATCTCATAACTGCCTCAATCAAAAGTGATTTAAATGGAGGGATATGTGGACGGAGAGACAGAAGTGGAATCTGGAGATTTTGGTTCTGAAATGTAATCAGTGATATTATGTCTGCAACTTACTGACTTGAGTTCCTTCGGAAGATTATATTCTGTTGAGGTTTATGAAGCTGTGGGATAATTGCGTGAGATTTTTCCTGACCATAGATATGCACTTCTATTACTTTCCATCTTAAACTCCGCGCTCGGTTAAAGGATCACCAAAATTAGCAGTGTGAAAATAACACCTAGCCTGTGCAATTTCAGATGTTAATTTTCTTTTACCAGAAAACTTAGAGCAACAAGATGGAGTATGTGGTCATTGGCCCCGATTATCTTGATTATGTCAGGTACAAATAAGTGCAAATTGTAGATTAACCTCAAGAGATGTGTTTCAATTTTTAAGAAAATCATATTTTACCTTCAACCCTTATTAGTAATTGTCTCAATTGTGTTTGTAATACGAACCTTTGATT